CCTTCTGAACGTGCTTCAACCTAATTTTTTCTTTTTTAAAGACAAAAATTTTTGAGACGAAATACCCAAAAGGAAGTTTGTAAAAAATGAATCTGCCTCAACAATATAGAACTTATCTACCCAACAATAAGTCTGTACAAAATATATTTATGAAGATATAGGATATTTTGTGAAGCCTATTGAAGAACTTGAGTTGGATATCTCACAGCCATCAACATCTAGCGGTTCTAAATTAGAAAAGAAGCTCTTGCACTATTTATCAATCTGTAATAAAAGACGTGAGGAAATTGTGTCTTTTTTAAAGACAAAAATTTTTTAGGCAAAATAGCCAACAAGCAGTTTGTAAAAAAACACAGTAAAACGCTGTTGATTCCTTTAGGTTGCGTCCAGGAGTGTCAAACGATTGAAGTTTGCATATCAAATCGCCAGCGGGCGTATTGTTATCCTGACACGCAAAGAATTGATGCGGCCATTCAATAATCGAGCCATAAATAAAAATATTTCGAAGCTGAGAGGATGAGCGAACAATGGCCGCAAAAGCGCCAATAATTTAGCGGTTTTATCTGCTGTCGTCAGTTGCAGATTCGCCGCTTCAATCGATTCCAGATCCAGCATTAAATAAATATTATCATTTCGTTTACCTGAGACTGGCATGGTAATCATGTCGCCAAACAAAAGAACTTGGCTCAAAATGACACGCGGGTCTTTATTCATTAGATTTCCGCTCGGCTTGCCTTGATTAGGCCCGTTGTTTGCGGCCTTATCTTGCCAGCAGCAAAAACATCTTAATAAAGCCCCAAAACCCGCTGATAGATAATAGATATTCCTTAAGGGCCCTACGGCGTTTTCAATTTAGCCGAAATCAGTGCTTAGGCTTGACATCGACATTATCTGCTAACCACGTTAACGTTCGAAATTTGCATTCAAATTTGCGTTTACCTATCGAATTCATCCGCTCAATGCCAGCTTATTTTGATGGCTTGCCTCCGAAATTGTTTCCTGCAATCTCTGTAAAAGATAGAGTTGGCAGCTATGCAAAAATGATCATTCATTTTAGGCGCGGGGTGACGTGTTGTGTTGAGTTGCGCTTTGGAGTTGATGCGACTCTGTGAGTTAGCGAGTTATACGTCATTGCCCCTGACTGCGTCGCACCTCAAATTGCGCTTGTGGCGCAATACATTTCGACATCAGAACTTTTAAAGGACATTTTTGATTAGTTGAAATTTCGTTGGTTTCTGTCATCGCTCACAAATTGAGCAACAGTTTCTTTTTTAGTGGTTTTTTCTCGACTTTTTTGTTTAGTCAATGTTTTTAGAAAAACACAATTAATTGGGTTATTAATGCGTGTTTTTTGACCTCAATGGATTCCTTTCAATAATAAGAAATAAATCGTCGGTTAAAGATCGTGAACGCTCAAAAAACGCTTAAAATATGTCGGAAATGTCTATTATTTCGGATCTGAAACTTCTAGCATGTTTTTCCATGAGTTCGGTGCATTCCTCGCGTCCGTGAGCTGAAAATGTAAAATTTAAGACATTTTGAGAAAATTTTGATTTTTTCAATAAATCGACCTTCGAATCGAATTTCGGCGAATGAGCGTGCTTTTCTATTTGCTGCTGAACATGTCAATTTTATTTGGATTTGTCTTCATTGTTGCGGCATTTTTAGTTATTTCTCAAAAGTTGGTATCGTAAAAACTCGGTAACTTCGAAAAAATGTTCTTCTTGCTCAGGAAAAGTTTCGCTTTTGTGTTTTGCTCGTTAGAAATTGCATTTCTTCAAAACTGTTGCAGTTTGGGAAACGTTTGTTGCGGCACACACAAAATTTTGATTTTTTCAAAAAATCGACCTCCACCCTTGGAAAAATTTCAGCCAAAAATCAAAATTTCATATGCGTGTTTTTTGAGCTCAATCGATTCTTTTCGACTTAAGAAGATCGCCAATATGCATTTATAAAATGTTTGGGTCAACAATAAGGAAGAAATCGCCGGTTAAAGATCGTGATCGGTCAAAAAACCCTTAAAATGTGCCTAAAATGTCTATTATTTCGGATCTGAAACGTCTAGCATGTTTTTCAATGAGTTCGGTGCATTCCTCGCG